TTGATTTCTATAGTGGTGATAAATGGCGTGACCAAAAACTAATTAGGGGAGGAAGGTGGGTCATTTCAGTACACTGGCAGAACATCTTCATCCACGGAAGGCAGGCCAGGAGAACACAGCAGAAATCTAAAGGCATGGCGTGAACTAAAAACCATGGAGGAATGCTGTATTCTGTCTTCTTCACTCTGGCTTGGGATCAGCCAGCATTTTCATAAACCTGGGACATTCTGGTCAAGAGCAGCACATACAACAAGGTGCAGTGCCAACATCTAATAGTCTAGATTCTCCTACAGCAATTAGCATCAATAAAACGACCCACAGAGATTTCCTTGGGACAATCAGATCAAGGAATCTACACAATTGTGATTTACACATATGGCTAGGCTGTTGAGAGCAGAAGCAAATAAAGACATCAGCATTTGCATTATTCCTAATTCAATAAATATTTAGTGTTGGTGAAGATTAGAATATTATTGAAGTTTTCCCATTATTTGGAAGTGTGGAATTATAGGTTGGTGAAAAATAGTAATATTGAAGGCTTTTCAGAATTATTTGGGTATACAGCTTCTCTTACAAGTGTGAGGTCTCAGAGGATATTTCCAATATGAAAGTCAGATAAAACCTTGCCATAATCTTATCATTTGTAGTGCCCCTTAGCAGTATGAGCCCTACAATGCACGTACAGACATGAAGAAAACCTAAACACCTGGTCATATTCTACATTTGCATGTGTGACGTCCTCCATGCTCAACAGCGGGTGAATGATAAAAGAAAATTCCCAACATTCCTCACATTTCTAGGGATGTTGTTTAGTATGAATATTTTTCTTCATTTATGGAAGCAATTATTAACCTGTGGGTCAAAACCCCTTTAGGGGTCAAAGATCTTTTGCCACGAGTCACCTAAGTCTATCAGATACAAAGATATTTACATCATGATTCACAACAGTAGCAAATTATTAGGTTATGAAGTAGCAAAGAAAATATTTTATGGTTGGAGTCATCACCAAATGAGGAATCCTGAAAAGCATTGTCACACCATACAGTCCTTGCTGTTTCCTCTGGGATAAATTTCTAAAATCAGAAAATGCTGGCTGAATGGCAAGGTACATCACTGTATTCTTCACATGGATTTCTTGTACATGGATTCTTTTGTCTTGGGTAAGGTTTGAATGATTACAAAGGCCTTATCACACACGCCCTATTTGTAGTGTTTCTATTCATGCTTTGCCCTTCTCCATATTCATGTTTGTCTCCAATATAGTCTGTAGTTTAGAACTGCGGTGTAAGTTCTAAAGGCGGCTGCCATATTCTTTACACCTGTAGGGTTTCTCTCCAAAATGAATTCTTTGATGTCCCTAAGGTTTTAGGTACCTATAATAGAAACACATATAATAAGGACATCCCACATCATTTCTCCATTTGTTTTTTATAAAGGAAGGTTTTAACTTTCATATAGTAAAATTACATATAACACAACAGTTATCAAGCAAGAATTAGTCACATTTAGTCTCTTTGTATTAGACAAAATTAAAGAAAATATTCTATCTTACCTTTGTGAGTTTAAAGTTTTATATCTAATTTATCTTTCATTAAATTTAAGACAAACTGTCTTCAACTCCAAAGACCCCAGAAGGATATATTACCTAAGTAAACAGGAAGTGCACTTTGTAAGCAATCTCCAAAACTCTAGAATTGGCAGAGATATCTCACTGCCTGGAGAGTCCCCCAAAGTTCTTCTATAACATTGGAACATCAGTCTTGGGTCTATAGGCTTAGCATATCTGAAAGACTTTTCTGTGAAGCACAATATTTGATGATCTGTCTTGTCTAGATTGGCAAAGTTCATCAGTTGTTTTCTTCTGTGTCCTGTAGAATGACTGGCAGACTCTTTCAAAAATCAGCCCATTAAGGTTTATTTTGGTGTTAAGTCTATTAAATCTTAAGATTCCTAAGGTCCAAGTGTAAATAAAATCAATTAACTCAAGCATGTTACTTCTGCATATTCTTTATTCTGTGGGTGAAGAACCAGAGAGAAAAATGATCTCCACCAGATTTTTAGTTTTCTATACATGGTTTAAAAATCCCATAGGCAAAAACAATGATATTAACATGCATTTCAAAATCACATAAGGGGAGGTAGAACCTGATCAAGCAGCACTCCAGGAAAAGGAGACACTACCCAGAAAGGGCCAGCATCCAAGCCAGAAAACCTGATATTTCAAACCATTAGAAAAAAATTACTAAACATCTGGAACCCTGGACTCACCCACTCAGAGATCTATTTGTCATTAAGCATGGGCATGCTGTCATCCTATCTTCGAGAAATTCCTACATGTTTCATTACTTACAGCAGACATGTCTCACTGCTGAGGAAAGTCTAAGTTCTTAAAAACATTTAAAAGCCATATTCTGTTGGTCTTTGAAGGTTACCTATCCATCTGAAATATATCTCTGTATATCTAGAAAATCTAATTTGACTACAACTTCGACTATTATAAATGACTATTAATCTATAATTTTAAATGAGCCGTATGAACATAATACCTTAAATGAGAGTAGAAATATATATATAAAACAAAATTGACATTAAATTTGTATCAATAAACCAAAGTCCACACCATTGTAATGTATTCATTTCTGTATCATATCCCCTTCTTCTGTAGAAAGATATTGAATGTGACCATTAACCATTTATAATCAACCCCCTTTAAATAAAATCAAACATTTATGATCATTAAGAAATTTGGGCATAGTTTTCTCCAAACTATTTCCTGCTGGTGGTTGGGTAAAGTATTTTTAGAGTTCACAGAGACCTTTTTTGAAGGGAGTCTTGTTCCATTAAACCACATTAGCCTAGAAGGAACCCACAGGTTCCAATCCTCTGTGGAAACAAAAGTAGAACCTCTTTTCCAAAGTAACATATTCTTAGACTCAAATTTTGAAGTCAACATATTTTAAAATATATGTTGCTTTAGCTTTGCAGTTCTCAAATCAAATGTCTCTCTGCAGTCAAAGAATCAAAGAAATAACAAAAATATACATAATCCTGACTATTTTCCATCTTTTCATGGCCCATTTTTATTCTATTATTCCTTTAAAAACCTCAGCTTAATATCCTTAAATTTTTTTTATCTATGACTCTACCTTTTATCTTCTCTGTCGTAAGTCCAGGCACATTTAACAAACATACTTTGGCCTGTTTAGAGGCCTTTTTTTTTTTTTTGGTCTGAATGTCTTTACTGTGTAGCTGTAATCTGTTTATGATCAGGAGCATTTTTTTAAAAGTGTTAAACTGGGATGACTAGGACCAGTGCTGCGGCTTTGTCTGTTGGCTCTTTCCCACTAAACATGGCAGAGGTGTGTTCACTGTCTCTGGGAGCCATGCTCACTGCCTCAACTCCAGGGATGCAGTGGGTCTTTGTCCCCATTAAGTAAATAGTAGCATGTTTTTCACAAATCCCATTTAAGTGCTCTGTAGCAGGACCTCTGAAATATCCAGAGCCATTTGGGCCATGAGCATCAACCAGGAAGTTATCTCTTAATGAAGTCACACTTCTGCTCAAAGCCAGCAAACAGTGTCTATCTGAAGAAAAATGCAGCTACCAAGAAGCTGCAATTGACTTGTGTTTTGTGGGTCTAGAAGCATTTATTAAAGCTCCCTCAGGTTTCTGTGGAAGAACTTTGACAAACAGTGGGTGCCATTAAGTAAACAGAAATTGCACTTTTATTTCCCAGTGGCCCAGACTCAAATAATCACACAGAAACTACGTAAATTACAACACTGACCAATGGCTCAGGCTTATTTAAAACTAACACTTTTGTGTGTGTCTGTGTTTTGAAAGTATTTTTATTTGATTCTTTTTTTTAAATTGATATTTATTGAGCTCTGCATTTTTCTCTGCTCCCCTCCTTACCTCTCCCCTTTCCCTTCAATCCTCCCCCAAGGTCCCCATGCTCCCAATTTACTCAGGAGATCTTGTCTTTTTATACTTTCTACTTCCTGTGTAGATTAAATCTATGTAAGTCTCTCTTAGTGTCCATATTGTTGTCTAAGTCATCTGGAATTGTGGTTTGTAGGCTGGCTTTCTTTGCTTTATGTTTAAAAACCACCTATAAGTGAGTACATGTGATAATTGTCTTTCTGTGTCTGGGTTACCACACTCAAAATGCTTTCTAGCTCTATCAATTTTCCTGCAAAATTCAAGATGTCATTATTTTTTTCTGCTGTGTAGTACTCCACTGTATAAATGTACCACATTTTCCTTATCCATTCTTTGTTCGAGGGCCATTCAGGTTGTTTCCAGGTTCTGGCTATGACAAACAAGGCTGCTATGAACACAGTTGAGCACATGTGCTTGTGGCACAATTGAGCATGCTTTGGATATATACCCAAAAGTGGTATTACTGGGTCTTGGGGAAGGTTGTTTCCTAATTTTCTGAGAAATCGCCACACTGATATCCAAAAGGGTTGTATCAGCTTGCATTCCCACCAGCAATGCAGAAGTGTTCCCTTTTCCCCACAACCTCTCCAGCATAAGTTGTCATCAGTGTTTTGATCTTGGCCATTCTTACAGGTGTAAGATAGAATCTCAGAGTTGTTTTGATTTGCATTTCTCTGATGACTAAGAATGTTGAGCATTTCCATAAGTGTCTTTCAGCCATTTTAGATACCTCTGTTGAGAGTTCTCTGTTTAGGTCTTTACTCCATTTTTTCATTGGATTATGTATTCATTTGGTGTCAAATTTCTTGAGTTCTTTGTATATTTCGGAGATCATACCTCTGTCAGATATGGAGTTAGTGAAGATCTTTTCCCATTCTGTAGGCTGTCATTTTGTCTTGTTGACCATGTCCTTTGCTTTACAGAAGCTTTTCAGTTTCAGGAGGTCCCATTTATTAATTATTTCTCTCAGTATCTGTGCTGCTGGGGTTATATTTAGGAAGTGGTTCCCTGTGCCAGTGCATTTAAGTGTACTTCCCACTTTCTCTTCTATAAGGTTCAGTGTGGCTGGCTTTATGTTGAGGTCTTTGATCCATTTGGACTTGATTTTGTGCATGGTGATAGATATGGGTCTATTTTCATTCTTCTACATGTTGAGATTCAGTTACGCCAGCACCACTCGTTAAATATGCTTTCTTTTTTCCGTTTGATATTTTTTGCTTTGTCAAGTATCAAATGTTCAAATATGTGTGGATTGATACCCGTGTCTTCTATTTGGTTCCATTGGTCCTCCTGTCTGTTCTTATGCCAATACCAGGCTGTTTTCAGTACTGTAGCTCTGTAGTAGAGTTTGAAGTCAGTGATTGTGATGCCCATAACTAACTCTTACATCTTAAATCCACCCATTTCTAATAACCTATGTATTGCCATGAGGCTGTAGCTTACTGGTAATGTTCTGGCATCTTTCTTTTTCAGTGGCTACCAGGCACCTCCTCAACTCCACCTACTCACTCGCACTCTTGATTTACTCTGCCAGGCCATTGACCAAAACAGCTTTATTCATCAACCAGTAAGGGCAACATATATACGAAAAGACATCCCATATCATCCCATTTGTATGGTTTCCAGACAGAAGAGTCTTTATATCTTTTAGGAACTGAGAAAGTATAAAACATTTTATGAATATTGTAATGTTGGTATCATTTCTCTGAAGTTTGAACTACTTTGTCTTGAGAAACACTAGAAAGTTTATTAAAGGTTTTTTTTTTTTTAAAACATGTTTGGCACTAATGGCATTTTTCTCCAGTATGAATTATCAGGTGTTTCAAAAGTTTTTATTAAGTGCACAAGACCTTGGCATATTCTTCACAGGCTTTCTCTCACACATAAGTTCTTAGAAGTTGTTTAAGACCAGAAGTCAGGGGAAAAGCCTTGCCATTCTCCACACTCATAATAGACTGGTGTTGAGAATGTGCTATGTAATTTATAAATTCTTTGCCACATTCTTCACACTTGTAGGGTTTCACTCCAGAATGAATTCTTTGAGGTCCCTTAAGGTTTCTGGTACAACTGAGCAGTCTGCCACTCTTCACATTTGTAAGGTTTCTATCCAGTGTGAGTTCATTTGTGCTGAGTAAGGTATGGCTTTTTATAGAAGGCTTTTCCACAATCCTTATAATTACAGGGTTTCTTTCTATTGTGGATTATCAAGTGAGAATAAATAATCCAGAAAGTTCTAAAGAACTCACCACATATTTTAGATTGCATACTTTCTTTCCTATATGAATGCTCTTGCTTCTGAAAGTAGTAATGGAAAACAAAGCTTTCCCACATACTTCTCAGCTGTAGGGTTTCTCCCCTATAGGAAGTCTCTTGTGTACTTTAAGTAATGATACAGCATGGATGACCTTGCCACATACGTCAAAATGCTAGGGCTTCTCTTCTGTATGAATTCTCTTGTGTTCAGAAAGTCCTGATGGATGAATGACACACTCTTCACTTACAGGGTCTCTCCTGTATGAATATTCATGTGCTTAGATAGTCCTGATGGACCAGTAAAGGCCTGGTCACATACTTTACATTTGTATTTTTTCTTTCCTATATGGGTACTCTTGTGTTTAGAAAGTCCAGAAGGACGAGTAAAAGCCTTGCCACATACGTCACATTTGTGGGGTTTCTCTCCTGTATGAATCCTCTTGTGTACAGAAAGTCCAGATGGACAATTGAAGGCCTTTTCGCACACTTCACACTTGTAGGGTTTGTCTCCTATATGAATCCTTTTGTGTACAGAAAGTTGTGAAGGAATATAGAAGGCCCTACCACATACATCACACTTGTAGGGCGTCTCTCCTTTATGAATTTTCTTGTGTACACAAAGTCCTGATGGACCTCTGAAGGCTTTGCCACATACTTCACACTTGTAGGGCTTTTCTCCTGTATGAATCATCTTATGTATAGAAAGTCCTGATGGATTACTGAAGGCCCTGCCACACACTTCACATTTGTAGGGTTTCTCTCCGGTGTGAATTTTCTTGTGGACAGAAAGTCCTGTTGGACGTTTAAAGGCTTTGCCACATACTTCACACTTGTAGGGTTTCTCTTCTGTATGGATTTTCTTGTGGACAGAAAGTCCTGATGTAGTATTGAAGGCTTTGCCACATACTTCACACTCATAGGGTTTCTCTCCTGTATGAATCCTTTTGTGTACAAAAAGATGTGATGGAATATAGAAGCCCTTTCCACATAATTCACACTTATAAGGTTTCTCTCCTGTATGAATTCTCATGTGTTCAGAAACTCGTGACGGAAAACTGAAGGCTCTACCACATACATCACACTTGTAGGGCTTGTCTCCTGTATGACTGCTCTTGTGTTCAGATAGCACTGATAAACATTTGAAGGACTTCCCACATACTTCACACCTGTAGGGTTTCTCTTCTGTATGAATTCGTTTGTGTACAGTAAGTTGTGATGGAAAACAGAAGGCCTTGTCACATGCTTCACACTTGTAGGGTCTAATTCCTGTATGAATTCTCTTATGATCAGAAAGCCGAGATGGAGCACAGAAGGCCTTGCCACATACTTCACACTTGTAGGTTTTCTCCCCTGAATGAATCATTTTGTGTAGAGAAAGTCTTGATGGAATGCAGAAGGCCTTTCCACACACTTCACACTTGTAGGGTTTCTCTCCAGTATGAACACTTTTGTGTACAGAAAGTTGTGATTGAACATGGAAGGCCTTGCCACATACTTCACACTTGTAGGGTCTCTCTCCTGTATGGATTTTCTTGTGTATAAGAAGTATTGATGGATGTTTGAAGGTTTTGCCACATACTTCACACTTGTAGGGTTTTATTCCTCTATGAATTCTCTTGTGTTCAGTAAGTCGTGATGGAAAACAGAAGTCCTCAGCATATATATCACAATTGTAGGGTTTCTCTCCTGTATGAATTCTCTTGTGCACACAAAGTGACGATAGAAAATGGAAGGCTTTCCCACATTCTTCACACTTATCTGGCTTCATTCTTAAGTTAATTTTCTGATGACTAATAGGTTGTGAGTTCCAAGGAAGGGTTTTGTCACATTCTTTGCCTGTATAGTATTTGTTTCCTGATGAGTAAAAGTTAAGAAATGAATGAAAACTGAGCAAAATTCTCTATATTTATGCTTATTTTTAAAACCAGAAATATTGATTCATACCTGTAATTTATAATATAAATAATGCTACATTCAAATTTCTAAAGCTGTGTTCAGTGTAGCCTAATTTAAAAAAACCATAAATTGAAATTATGTAACTTGTAGTGAAGGATGAAGACCATGACGACATAGAACATAGAAACAAATCAATATTAATGAATGTCAAACATGTAAAGAAGGCATAACATCAAGAAGAAAACAAGACTATTACACTATTGTAAATGAGCCATTTATAGAAATAGAGAAACTTTATAACTAGATAAACACAAAGTATAACATTAGTCAAAGTTGGAAACATATGTTTTTATAGTACATATATTTGCTAAATTCAGACCTCTAGTTTTGGAAGGTCTGAAAGTTAGACTGCATAACTAGAAACCTGTCGATAACAATATTCGATAACACTGTTCAAGAATTGAAGACAGGAGGATCTCTGCATAGTTTATGAATAAATATCCACTGACCAACTTAGGAAAAATAGATCATGTTCACCCTCAAATGAGAGAGCTTAGTCACTTACTGTAAACATAAGCTGACCTGATGGGAGAAGGACAGAGCATAAGAAAATCAAAGTACCATAAATATCCACTTTTCACAGCAAAAGATACAAAAGGAGATCCTTAAAACATTATGTCCATGAGAACATTGTGAGTCAGTGTTCGTGATAAAACCTGGCTTTCTGTTGGGTCTCTGGCCTTCCCCTCCTTGTTACCTCTGTCTCCCTCATTCCTACACACCTGTTTCCATGGCAGCTGCTGTGAGTCTCTTCATGTCTGAAGGGTCTTGTGTTTGCTCCAGAAATGTGATCAGGGAAGGCTTAGAGGAAGCAAGACCTATTTATGGGAAAAGAGAACATCATTAGTTTTTTCTCCGAGGATAGCTGTAGTAATGAGGTGAGCAGGCCTGCTTTTTGAGGGCCGCTGCCCGGCTCCTGGCCCTGGGCTAGCTTTACCCAAAATAATTACACATAAATTGTATTCTTTTAAACATTACCTGGCCCATTAGTTCTAGCCTCTTATTGGCTAATTCTCACATCTTGATAACCCATTTCTAATAATCTATGTAGCATCACGAGGTGGTGGCTTACTGGGAAAGATTCGGCACGTCTGACCTGGCAGCTGGCTCCATGGCGTCTGACCAACTATGCTTTCTTTCTCCCACCATTCTGTTCTGTTTACTCTGCCTACCTAATTTTCTGTCCTATCAAAGGGCCAAGGCAGTTTCTTTATTAACCAATGAAAGTAACACATAGACAGAAGACCCTCCTCCATCAGATAGCATGTCCTCTCTAGGACTGTATGTATAAGGAATGAGAAGATACAATGAGGGCTGTAGAGGATTAGATGTTCATGAGTTTCCTGACGGGCACATCAGAATGCTTAGGAAGAATTTAGGATTTGCAGGTCTTTAGTTAGCTTCATGTCCCTCAGTTACAAGAAGAAATATTAAAACTGAAGAGTGCAATATTCTTTTTATCATATAAGCTTCCCACTCATGCCATTTACTTTCTAACATTACCACCAATATAAAGAATACCTCTATAAAAAGGATGGGAAGCTGCTATGAACACGAGAAGAAATAAAATTATTCTAAGGTATAGGAATATTCTCTTCAGTTTTTCTTAAAATTTGCCCCATAAATTTCATTGTTGGAAGCACAAGCACCCTTGAGATACTGTAGAAAGAAATCAAGTTTATGCTGACAGTTAATTAAGAGCACACCATGGAAGATTCCCTCACGCACACTGTAGAATTTTACCTTAAGCTGTGTTTCTTTTCTTCATGCTCTGGAACATTTGTTTAACGATGCAAAGATATGTTACATTTGTTTGAGTAAATGAACTTCCCTTGCAGTCAGGATGCTGAGTCAGCAACTAGCTGACAGGAAGTGGGAGGGAGAAGCCAGGTGGAGAAGGGTTTTTAAACAGGGGTGAGGAGAAGAATGAGGGCTTTTTATTAGACACAAGCAAGGAGAGGAGTTAGCTGCTATTCAGACTCTCTGAGGAGCAGAGTTCCACCTGAACCTTTGAATCTTGAGTTCTTTAGAAGGCCAGGGATTTCGAGAAGTTCCCTCACAGCTTTGAGAGACTGCCTGAGGGAACTCTCTCTCAGGCTGCAGCTCTGGTGACTTAACCACTGTTGGCAGTGGCAGAATTGCACTTCCTAATTAGAACAGCCATTGATTAAAAGGCAGCATCAATTGAAAGGACGACATACCCAGGAACACGAGGTTGCTGTAATTCTCGAGTATCACATCCCTGTACAGACTCCACTGAGCAGGCTCCAGGTAGTCACCCTCCTCTGCAGAGAAAACAATGGCCACATCCCTGAAAGACAGCATTTCCTGAAACAAATAAGAAAAATGAATGCTAATTAAAACTGCCAGGGAAAACACAAATAACAAGAGGCATATGTACTTCTAGATATTAATCTAAAGGTCACCCAGAGTGAGAAGAGAGCTAGAAGCCCTTCTGACATAGGTAAGCAACGTCCCTAACATAAGTCTGATGCAGTACTGTGATGATACACAGGACTCATCATTAAGGAAAGTGAATGACAGAAGATCCTAGAAACTCCCATGGATATCCTACCTTTAAGAACCATACAATGGAGAGCGAGTATCTACAAAAGAGTATTGTTGAGGCTGGAGAGATGGCTCGGTAGTAAAAAGCACTGACTGCTCTTCCAAAGCACCTGGAATTGATTCCCAGCAGCCATGGCTGCTCAGAACTGTCTGTAACTCCAGTTCCAGAGGCTCAATCTCTTACACAAGGACACTAGCATTCCCACCATGCACACAACATAAATCCATCCATATATACATAATAAAATTTTGAAATAAAATAGGCATTTTTGTCCCATTCTTATAATACTCCATACATAATGTATATTTCTCACAGTAGATAACCATGGTGATGGAAAGGGTACTGCTCAACCCCTTTATGAACAATCAAAAATGATAAACACAATGAAGATGCAGATCTGATGAAGCAACTCTGGGCTGAGGTTTGGCTTCCCGAGGATGTACAGAGTGATGCAAATGACTGTGTATCAAGGGACATGAGTTTCAGCCATCAAGGGGAAGATCAATAAATGAGCAATTTGTAGACAAAATGGAATCACATGTATTTTAACAAATTTCTAATGAGGCAATTTAGCAGTAAGTTCACTCACTGCGGGGACTTACGCTGACTCAAGTTTCTCAGAAGCCCTGATGAAAGGACCAAGGGAATGATGTAGAAGGCACAGCTTACAGAAAGCATTAGAGGAACTAGAATTGTTAGACATGAAGGATATATTTCTTCAGTCGAAGAAAATGACTGATGTCTGTTCACTAGGAAACCTGGAATGGATGCTGTCTACCACGGTGGTGATTTTCTGCTAGTGTACGGCTGCAGCGTCACCTGAATCTCACCTCCACCCCAAATCCTCGGCGTTGTTCAGGCTCCCATTCCGAGCTTTGTCTCTCAGGGAATAAAGCCCTCCTTATGAAAGTGGTCCCATGGAATCTGCATTCTCAGTCAACAGAAACCAAGCTTATGCTTATTACAAACCTGTCCTCCTCAGGCCCTTACCCTAAACTCTGTTCCTCTGTGAAGAGAACCCATTTTAGGGTAAAGGTCACAGGTGCCTCGCCAGGGAAATGTACATTTCAATGGAGTTTCAACGTAGCCATGCCCAAAGCTTTGTTGCCATAATTTTAAATGGAAACCTTTTCCCAATGTTTAACTGTGTTTAAAGGTGGAAAAAAAAATAAACTGCTTGGTCAAACTCAAGAAATTTTTGACCCAGTGCCAGCTAATGTGGTGCTGACCCTGGTTTCATTCTTAACTTCATGTGGATATTTTCTGTGACAGCAATAAAGCCTGGAGGAACAATGACAATGTGGGGCTGGGTCCAAAGTTAAGGAAGGTTTTCTTTCATTAGAAATTAGGGACAAACCGACAAAGAACTCACTTAAAAGAATTCATGATCTTAAATGAGAGAGTGGGATAAATATAGGTTCTTCTCAGGACCCAGTGACAGCGTTTTACACTTATTGAAATATTTGTTAAGATCCCAAGGAACAAAATACTCAGAGCAATACCTCTTCCACTTTATACTCATAGGAACTAAGGTAACAAGAGGCTACAAAAGAGGAGAGAAGAATCCTTGTCAATTATTTTTTGCAAACCACAAGAAATAGAAACAAACAGAAACACACACAAAATGAACTAACAAAAAATAAATAACATTTTTCCCTTGCTGGACACATCTTGGCAGGTCACAGCAAGGCTCCATGTACTAAGGAGCTGCTTGGTTTCCAGGTTTAGTCTTCCTGAACAATTTTGATTGGAACTCAAAGCCCTTTGGCCATGTGGGCCTTTTCTCCCAATGGGATGCAAAGTGTGGCCTCTATAACACCCAAGGTCTAAGAAATGGTGGGCGGGCTCTGCTCTACAGCTTGAGCCAACTCGGCTACCGCAGAGCTTAGATTTTGATGTTGTTATTTGCTTATTCTTGTTAGTTTATTTTGTTTATCCCACAGAGTGGTAATAACTCAACATAGATTGCTTAATGGTCCCTTCATGGGGAAAATTAAAATGGGCACAGTTTCTAGTACCAGAACAATTACAATTAGGAATAAAACCTTAAACCAACACTGTATAAGTTCCCAGAGTTATTAGTCCTGCAATATATGGACAATATTCTCTTCGGCTCATCTGTCAAATCCATACTTAAATGAGTGCTTAATTTTCATGGTAAAGAAACTAAAATAACAAAATGTATAATTTTGTGCTATTTCAACTGGGTAAACACTAACCTGCCAATCACTACTAATGATTTGGCTCTGTGCTTTAAGATGCTTTCTGAAAGCTTTCCTTCTAAGAAATGTAACACCTGAAACACAGCAGGTTATTAGCTTGTTAAGTAACGTTAGATAGCTCATAGATTTAATCCCTTATTGGTAAAGAACTTCAGTGATTATTATACCACTAAATACAATTCAGTATGGTTATCTGTTCTGTACTAATAATTGGCAGGTTGCAATGTCATCTGACTCAGGATCTATAATCACTGTGGTAGTTGAATAGGTATGGCCCCCATGGATTCTTGTGTTTGAACACTTGGCCCATAGGGAGTAGCACTGTTAGGAGGTGTGGCCTTGATAGTGTGTCACTATGGAGTCAGGCTTTGATATCTCATATATGCTCAAGCCAAACCCAATTCTTTCTGCCTGAGGATCAAAATGTAGAACTCTCACCTCCTTCTCCAGCACCATGCTTGCCTGCCACCCACAATAATAATAATGGGCTAAAGCTTTGGAACCATAAGCTCACGCCAAATATGTTTTCCTTTGTAAGAATTGCCATGATCATGGAGTCTATTCACAGCACAGAAACCATAACTAAGACAATCATCATCCAAAGGATACCATTCAAAAATCATTTTCAATAGCCCATGGGTGTTGCCTAAAATTACATCTAAAAATCTTATAGAGATTATTTTCAATGTTTTAATAAATGGCTTTTCAAAAGGACAAGGAGTCTACTCTTTATATCCAAATTCTGAATACTCCACAGAAAATATTTTACCCATTCCTGGGTTATATAGCTCAGCAGTCTAAAGGTGCTATTATCAGTCATCTTTATTAAGTATTTTCCAACCACTGAGTATTTTGACTAACCTCATGTATAAACTAGCACATGATGCATTGAAATATCTCTCTGTTCTCTATAAATTCTTAAATTAGGATTAATAAATTCATTCGAGTGTAAGAGGATCCGAGCATCCTGCACACTGAGGAAATGCGTTTCCTGAGGGAGTGGGTGGACAGAATTTATTTATTATTGGTTTGAGATAGGCTCTCACCATGTAGCTCTGCATACTGAGAACTTGTATAAACCAGACTGGCCTCAAATTCCCAGAGATCCACCTGTTTCCACCAGCAAGCATAAGGCTAAATCAGAAGAAAATGTCAAGGAAGAAAAAAGAGATAATAAGACAGAGGAAAGCATAAAGACAGACAAACCATCAAGTGAGGAGAGTGATCTAGAAATTGACAATGAAGGTGTACTTGAGCCAGACCCTGATGTCTCTCAAGAGATGGGAGATGAAAATGCAGACATAACTGAGGAGATGATGGATCAAGCAAATGAAAAGAAGGGGGCTGCCACAGAGGCCCTAAATGATGGTGAGCTGCAGAAAGCTATTGACTTGTTCACTGATGCCGTCAAGCTAAATCCTCGCTTGGCTATTCTGTATGCCAAGAGAGCCAGTGTCTTCGTTAAATTACAGAAGCCAAACGCTGCTATCTGAGACTGTGACAGAGCCATTGAGATAAACTCTGATTCAGCTCAGCCATACACCTGGTGGGGGAAAGCACACAGACTCCTGGGTCACTGGGAAGAAGCAGCTCATGACCTAGCCCTGGCCTGTAAACTGGATTGTGACGAGGATGCCAGCGCAATGCTGAAAGAGGTTCAACCTCGGGCTCAAAAAATTGCTGAACATTGGAGAAAATATGCGAAAACACGAAGAGCGAGATAAAAGAAAGAATAGAAAGGGTGAAGAAAGCTCAAGAAGAGGATGAAAGAACCTAAAGGGAAGAAGAAGCCAGAAGACAGTCTGGGGCTCAGGATAGCTCTTTTCCAGGTGGTTTTCCTGGAGGAATGCCTGGAATGGGAGGGTGCATGCCTGGAATGGGAGGGGCATGCCTGGAATGGCAGGAATGCCTGGACTCAAAGAAATCCTCAGTGACGCTGAGGTTCTTGCAGCAAAGCAGGATCCAGAAGTCATGGTGGCTTTCCAGGATGTGGCCCAAAACCCAGCAAATATGTCAAAATATCAGAGCAACCAAAAGGTTATGAATCTCATCAGTAAATTGTCAGGCAAGTTTGGAGGTCAAGTGTAATGTCAAACAGAGCCCTTGCTGAACGAAGAGCAGCTTAGCTCACTTACTGGATGTTGCGATAATACAAATCAGTGTACCTCTGACCTCATCAGGAGAGCTGGGGTGCTTCGAAGACTATCCCTACCTTTCTGCATCAAATGTGGCTGAAGCATTTTACAGTGGTTTTCCATTAGTGTCTTCATTCAGATAATGTTTTCCTACTAGGGATTATAAACACTTTTCACCCTTAAACATATTTTAAAAATTTAGGGGGTATTAATTCCTCCATTTTTCTTTACTAATCTCTTTGGGTTTTTCCTTTGAGTTACTGGGCAAGAAAGCTGAATATGGTCAACTTACTGCTCTCATGAATGGAAATAAAGATTCGTTAGTGGGAAGTAAATAAAACTCATTTAAGTTGAAAATAAATAAATAAATTCATTCAAAATGGTAAAGAAAAACCAAAAATT